TCTACCAACTGTTATTGCATGCCTCAACTCTCCAGGATGATTACATCAGTTTGTAAATCACCGTTTGATCGAGAATTGTAATGTGTATCTCAAAACTTTGGCTCAGTCTTGAAATTGCCAAACTTCATGAATAGAATTGGGGTCCAAATGCAATACTGGCCAGCATATGCGATTAACTAAGCTTGGTTATAGACATCAGTGAATAGCTTTAAATCACTGTAAACATTTGATTTGGATGCAAATAATTTACTTGGGTATAACAGTAAACGAGGCTAAAATGTCCATACTGATGTTTGGTGGAACATTTAGACTGGAAGATGATGATAAAGATGGATATATAATCAAATCGCATAATTGTTATTCTTCCTCTCTTTTCAGGATATATGCCTGGAAGGTTGTATGATCTTGATGCATCACAATACGGAAATAAACAGCAATTGAAGACATTGGTTAATGCTTTCCACAGCAAAGGGATCAAATGTGTTGCCGATATAGTAATAAACCATAGATGTGCTGAGAAGCAAGATGAGAGAGGAATATGGTGCATCTTTGAGGGAGGAACAGCCGACAATCGTCTTGATTGGGGACCATCATTAATTTGCAAAGATGATACTGAATATTCCGATGGCAAAGGGAATCTTGATTCTGGAGCCGACTTTCAACCTGCTCCTGATATTGACCATCTCAATCCAAGGGTGCAAAAAGAGTTATCAGATTGGATGAATTGGCTAAAGACTGAGATTGGATTCGATGGATGGCGATTCGATTTTGTCAGGGGGTATGCCCCAAGTATCACAAAGGTATACATGAAGAACACTACACCAAACTTTGCAGTTGGGGAGTATTGGGATTCTCTCTCTTATGGGCAGGATGGAAAACCCGATTATAACCAGGACCAGCATCGTAATCGCCTGGTTCAGTGGGTTCAAAACGCGGGTGGGGTTGTCACAGCCTTTGATTTCACTACAAAAGGGATTCTTCAGGCTGCTGTGCAGGGGGAGCTTTGGAGAATGAAGGACTCAAATGGAAACCCTCCAGGACTGATAGGAGTTTTGCCCCAAAATGCTGTGACTTTTATTGATAATCATGATACAGGATCTACTCAGAAGGCTTGGCCTTTCCCATCTGATAAAGTCATGCAAGGATATGCTTATATTCTCACCCATCCAGGGATTCCATCAATAGTAATTTCTACTACCTTATTCAGCTTCTATGTTCACTTACCATTCATTGAGGATGAAGTAATACTATCATAAGGATCAAAATTTCGAAATGAACCGGTGATTAGATATAGAAATTCTTACGTTTCGAACTGTTTTAGAATGTTTCGATATATTTCAGCCACGGTTTCAAAACTAAATTTTCAAACTTTTACTCTATTTGCTAAATTTTGCAAAGAAGTTTCTATTTTCGAGCTGACTGAAACTATGCACCGTCGTATTTTGCTTTTGGGTTGTTTTGTTGACTGAGGAATTGCTTGTTCTGTTGTGCAGTTTTATGATCACTTCTTTGATTGGGGGCTGAAAGATCAAATTTCTAAGTTGTCTGCAATCAGGAGTAGGAATGGGATCTCTCCAACAAGCAAAGTGAAGATCATGGCTTCCGAGTCTGATCTCTATGTTGCAATGATTGATGACAAAATAATTGTCAAGATTGGGCCGAAGCTTGATCTTGGATCTCTTATTCCACCAAACTTTCAAGTTTCTACCTCGGGGGAAGCCTATGCTGTATGGGAGAAAAAAACAGTCTAAGCTGAATGTTCAAGGTGGTCATAATGTGGCTGAAAATCCCATTGTGCACTGTAATAACTTTTGTCATAATGAAATGTATATCGAATGCTATTTTTGACCTAATTTGTTGATATGATCTATCACCATCATTGGATTGGTGACGGGTCTCAACAAATATTGGAGTTTATTATCAATTCAATTGTTATGAATAATTAGATCAATAAATTAAGTTCAAGCAATTTTGTAGAATATAATACCCTCCCAAACTCCCATTAATAGGAACTAAATTGTGTTATTGTTTTTTAAATGTCCTCCCACCCTCCATATGTAGTTGGCATAAAATGTTGTCATAGCAAAGAAGGTAGAAACTTGTATTATTTTTTTTTAGCAATGTTATTGAGACTTAATTTATTGATATAATTTGTTGATCTAATTTACAGTGACATTTGGATTGACTGTAGGCTCTATCAAATATTAGAACTAGATGTTCATCCAATGATTTCTATGAAGTTATATCATTATGTCAGTAAATTAGTTCAATTTTTTAGATCTAAATAGTATTATTCATTCTCTTTACCTTTCTTGGGGGCTGATCCAAGTGACAAAGAAACAAATGATGGGTTTTTGTATCTGAAAATATGTTTTTGGGAAGAATTTTAAAAAAAGTGTGGCAATGTTTGCTTTGCGTCTGTAAAATAGTTTTTTGTTCTCAAAATTTCAAAAACACCCAAAACCTATTTGTTTAGCATTTTTGTTCTCTAAATTTTGAGAAAAAAATTAGATTTGAATCAAAAAAAACACAAGTTTAACTTGTTTTTAGAGTTTTTTTTTGAAAATTTTGGAAACAAAAGAACAATTTTGGATGTTTATATATATATTACCTATGCCTGAAGGCACAGAGTAATAAAAAATGATAAATCATAAATATATTTGTATTCATATCCAAAATTAAATCACAAACATAAAGAAAAGATAAAAGAATATAAGCATCAGTTTTATAGTGGGGGGTGAGAGGTCGTGGGCGATAATAATGGTGGTAGGAGACGGTGATGGTTGTGGTAAGTGGCAATGACCATGGCAGCGATGATGAAGGTGGTGATGACGATGGTAGTGGTGGCGGCGATAGTGGTAGAGGTAATGATAGAGCGATTTCAACTACTATTTTTTTTTAAAGTATTTTTGAGAAATAATTTTTAAAAGTACTTTTAAAAAGTTATTCCAAACACACCCTTAGACCCCTATTTTTCTTATTAAATTTAAGGTGTTAATATTAGTCGTTAGATTAACTTTAAAATAAAATTTAAAACGATCTCAACCGCGAATAGTAAAAGTCATTTGAGATTTAAATTGTAAGTTACTTTATTATATATATATATATATATATATATATATTATAAAATTGTCAATATAAAAATAATTTTATATATTTTTTTAATTAATGTTTGAATTACTGTTCAAATATATATTTAAGCAGTTCAGACATGTTTTACTATTTTCTGTGTTATAAAATTATTTTTGAAATTATCTAACCAAACAAGTTTTTTATCTCAAAAAATATCAAAACCACTTTCTTAAAACTCTTCTCAAAAACTATTTTCGAATACTATTTTTTGAAACTCAAACCAAACAGGTCCTGTATTTTTTGTATCGTAAAATTTGTTTGGTTATATGATTCTAAAAACAGTTCAGATAAATAGAAAATAGTAAAATATGTGGACAATAATAACTCAAAAAATAATGAAAATACGAGATATTGCTTGAATTGTCTATTTACACATAATATAAGTTGGGATATAATACACATCATTGTTCCTGCATAAGAGAAGCCCACCACTATCTTACATTGACTCATTTCTACGTGTTATCTTACACACAGAAAGAATCATTTCTCCACTGTCTATGGTGTCTACCAACTGAACACCTAAAGAAATATTGCCCATCATTCCTCACTGTAGGAGCCCTAAAAACATTCATGTAGCAGCACCATACGCACATAAAGGTCCTATAGCATTATCCATGTGCACAACATTTTATCAAGAAAAATAAAAGTACCATTAATATGTAATGCAATCAACATTTTGGACCAATATCCATGGTGTACGCACCTCACTAAAGGAAATCCGAAGATTGGGCGTCTGCTTCTGGTTGGGTATAACGGGCCTGACCAGTCAATGGGATGGGATCGAACTAGCCCACCACAAAATACCGAGGCCCACAGCCTGCCTACCAGACGGGCTAGCCAGGGGTCTTCACTGGCCTAAATTTTAGCTGATTGGCTTTAAACGAGCTTTTAGTATTGTACTTTCAAAATTAAATATTTATTCCAAGAAAATATAAAAATAAAAAATTGAAGTACTACAACTGAAATTATAATAAAAAGCACCACATACTACAGTAAATCGGATTTTCCTTCAACGTGTATGTGCAGGATTGTCTAAAATTTATTATTTTGTAGGCGAATATACAATTTTTAGGAGTTTAGTTATAAAAGAAATTATAATATTTTAGAGTCAAGTTAAAGTTTTTGGGATCAAATTATAATATTTTGAAGTTAAATTACAACTTCTTATCTTGAACGCTCTAAAAAATTATAACTTAACCCAAAAAATTATAATTTAATTTAAAAAATTTATAACATGATGGTATGGTATTGAAAAAGTTACTCCCAAAGTAACATTTTTTTTAAAATTTTTTATTGGATAATCAGACTTGTCCTTATTACTCCATCAAATTTAACAACTGTCATGATGACTTGAGTCGGGTTAAAATAGGTCTTTACGACTTGATTACGGTATCAAAAAAATAAATTTGGTACCATATCTCCAATTTTTACCATTTCAACGGGTGTTTTTACAATTTTAATGGGTTATTTTACAACAATTTTTTTTACCACTTTTGTGGATATTTTTACCAATATTGTAGGTATTTTTACTACATTTTTGGTGACTATTTTATCAATTGTCTTTGATACAAAAAAAATTATTACAATGTTTTTATTATATTTATGAATATTTTTCATACATTTATAAATATAATAAAAATAATTACAAATATGATAAATAGAGGTACCCTCTTTTTTTTTTTTTTCCGTTATCATAGTCAAATCCATGTCTTCGAATCAATCACTAACATAGGAAGTGAGTGAATCTTAAATTTCTAAACTACTAAAAGACAAACGCAACTGCTGAACCTCCTCTCGATTTAGATAATGCTCCGTAAATTAGAGAGGGGACGGTAATTGGAGAACATTGTACCCGTTGAGCCGGTAGACGGTGAAGTGCAAATTTGTCTTCCTTTCAAAACCCTAATCTGAACCTTCAAAGATCAAATTTCAAAATTTCAAACTCGCGCTCTTCACTCAACTCCACACCACCAACCTCCGGATCAACAAACCCTCAATCCATTTCCCATCTGAGCAACGCTGACAAAAAACCCACAAAAATGGGTGCTAACAACAGCCGCGAGGACCTTGAACTCTCAGACTCAGACGCCGAATCAGAGTCACAAGATCAAGAAACCGAAGAAGAAGAAGAAGAATACTACGAAGATGCCAAATCGCCGTCTTCTTCTGGGCATAAAGGATCCAAAACGCCGTCTTCTTTAGATGAAGTCGAGGAAAAGCTCAAAGCCCTGAAACTCAAGTATCCATCTCACGACGCATCTCCTAAAAACGCTGTGAAGCTTTATCTTTATGTTGGTGCCAACACACCCAAGTCTAAATGGATCGTCTCCGACAAGCTCACCTCCTATTCCTTCATCAAAACCTCACAAATTGACACCTCAGACGATGAAAATGAGGAAGAAGAGGAAAATTCTTGGTGGGTGTTGAAAGTTGGGTCCAAAGTTCGAGTTATAGTCGACGCCCAAATGCAGTTGAAGTCTTTTGGAGATCAAAAACGGGTCGATTTTGTGTCCAGTGGAGTGTGGGCTATGAAATTTTTTAGTGAAGAAGATTACAAAGATTTTGTTGGTAAATATCAGGATTGTTTGTTTGAGAACACTTATGGGTTTGAATCTAATGATGATAATAAGGTTAAGGTTTATGGGAAGGATTTCATTGGGTGGGCGAAGCCAGAGGTGGCGGATGATTCTATGTGGGAGGACGCAGATGATGGTTTATTGAAAAGTCCTAATTCAGCCACACCCGTGAGAGCGAGTCAGGATTTGAGGGAGGAGTTTGAGGAGGCCGCGAATGGTGGGGCGATACAGAGCCTGGCTTTAGGTGCGTTGGATAATAGTTTCTTGGTTGGCGATTCGGGTATTCAGGTTGTGAAGAATTTTAGTCATGGAATCCATGGAAAAGGCGTTTATGTAAATTTTGATAAGGGAAGGCAAAGTTTGGTGCATTCGGCTCCAAGGAAGGCTCTGCTTATGAGGGCAGAGACTAATATGTTACTTATGAGTCCTGTGACTGATGGGAAACCACATACAAGGGGGCTTCACCATCTTGATATTGAGACGGGGAAGATTGTTACTGAATGGAAGTTTGAGAAAGACGGGACTGATATTACTATGAGGGATATAACAAATGATAATAAAGGAGCTCAAATGGATCCTTCAGGTTCAACGTTTTTGGGATTGGATGATAATAGGTTGTGTAGGTGGGATATGAGAGATAAGCACGGGATGGTTCAAAATCTTTCAGATGCTAGCACTCCTGTTTTGAATTGGACTCAGGGGCATCAGTTCTCAAGAGGGACTAATTTTCAATGCTTTGCTACCACTGGTGATGGCTCGATTGTTGTTGGGTCACTTGATGGAAAGATCCGGTTGTATTCGAGCAGTTCTATGAGGCAGGCTAAAACTGCTTTTCCGGGGCTTGGTTCACCTATTACTCATGTGGATGTTACCTTTGATGGTAGGTGGATATTGGGCACAACTGATACCTATTTGATTCTTATCTGCACTGTGTTTGCTGACAAGGATGGGAAGACAAAGACTGGCTTTGCTGGTCGTATGGGGAATAGAATTGCTGCTCCGAGGTTGTTGAAGCTGACTCCTTTGGATTCACATAGGGCTGGAGTGAATAATAAGTTCCATGGTGCTCAATTCTCATGGGTATGTATAAATTTGTGCCTTTCTCATGCTCCTGTTGGTTTCCTGGATGTATCTGTTTCTACACCACTTAATTTTTGACAGTTTCTACGCCACTTTATTTCTGGATTGTATTCGGAATTCCTTGTTAATGAATATTCTTGATTGCTACAAATGTTACTTTATATGACTTATTGTTGAATTTTGGGTTGGAGATATTGTTAAATTGCATGCATCTTTATGAATTTTGTGTATGATATGTAAGAGTTGTGGATTGCTGCGGACGCTTCATTGACCATGATAACTTGACAAAATTCTCAATGATTGAAAGTGTCCAGGATTGTTTGTGGGATAACCTTGCACTCATGAGTTGATTTGCCCCACTACGATATGGTTGTCTGTGAGTGGTAGGACTAAGGCTCAAAAATTGAAGAATTATCATTAGATTGTGTCAAAAATGGCCATTGGTAGTCCTTGGAATTCAAGGTGACATGAGATGAGGGTTTTCAAAGTGTTCTTTATTTGGATAGTCCATACCTTGGAGATTTTCTGTTTGGCAGCTTCGGAAGCTTTGATGAATGGATATGAAATTTATTTAACTTTGAGTAGTTAAGAATCATTTCCATCTGGATATGTAGAAAAATTTTCTCTCCTTTTTTCTCATTGCAGTTGTAGAGTTTGCCTTTATTTCTGGTCAAAAACATACTGCGGTATAATACCTGTGGTCAGGCAGTGTACCTGGTAATTTTGATTGTCAAAAATAATTCTACATCGAAACTATTACTCATCCATTGACTTCTGTGAAATGTGAAATTTATGCAGTTGTCTAACATTTGACTAAGGAATGCCTTCATTTAATCGTCCCACAAGCAGCAGCTGTAGACCTGCTACCATGTTTCATTAATAGGGCACTTACTAAAGGATGCTTTCTAGGGCTAAATATTTGTGATTTGGCAAGTTTTTCCCTACCTATAAGAGAGAATCACAATTGTGTATTGCATTATTCCTGTTTTTTTTAGAATTTTTAAAGGATCTCATATGCAACAGCTGTTAATTGGTCTGAAATCCCAAGTTGGAGTTTATAAGTGACCATTTAGTGCAAATAATGGCAAGGGTTAAGTTTTTACGTAGCACAACCTTTCAATACCTTGTATCAGTGGCAGATGGGAGCAATATTGGGTGATGGCGTTTTCCAAGGGAACTGTTAGTGACAGAAGTTTTGTCATTCATCTTGTTGAGGGAAGATTATCTTCTCTGATTTAATCATTTTTTAGTCATTGTGTTCAGTCTGCTAGAATTACTGGTAAAACTGATTAGGGCAATCCTTTTGTAGTTGATAAATAAAATTTTACTTGAAATTTGATGGTATTACGCAGGAAAAGGGACACTATTTTCCCAGACAAACATGCTAACAACAGGCAATATGGTGTCTCAATGATTGCAGACATTTTGCTAATGAGGTGCCTTTTATCCAGTAGTTGTCAAATAGTAACCCATGAATTTGAAGGTTTGCAGGAAGCACAGCACAACTTTTTCTGCAGTAGTTATGTTTTCCCTAGCTTTTATTTGAAATGAAAAAAACCATGAAACAATTTCACTTCTATCTTTTTCTCCGACTTCGTCGTTTTCTACTTTCCCTGTACATAACATTAGTGTTTTGTCGTGTTTCATACCTTAAAGCTTTCTCTATACTAATAAATCTAGTTCTTTTTGGGTTCTTATGATATTGAACTCAATGCAACAAAGCTTTGTTTTAACTATTTAGGGTTTGCTTGGTTCTCACAGTATTTTATTGTATTAATCCTGATGAATCTATAAAACTGCTCAGGTTACTGAGGATGGGAAGCAGGAGCGCCATCTGGTTGCAACAGTCGGCAAGTTTAGCGTGATATGGAATTTCCAACAGGTGAAGGATGGTTCTCACGAATGTTATCGAAATCAGGTAGGCCTGAAGAGCTGCTATTGCTACAAGATCGTTCTAAAGGATGACTCCATTGTGGATAGTCGCTTCATGCATGAGAAGTTTGCAGTCAGCGAGTCACCTGAGGCTCCACTGGTGGTTGCAACCCCCCTGAAAGTCAGCTCCTTCAGCATATCTAGTAGGCGATGATACTTCAAACAAATATCTTTGTTTAGTTGTCTGCCTTCTCAAGTTCCTCAACTAGTTTGTTTAAAAATGATACATTCAGAACTTTCTTTATTGTAACATGTCAAAGTAGAATCGATCTCTGTGTGCTTGTGTTGTTCAAGTAGGTTTCATAACCATGTCGAAGTGGTTAGTTGTCTAAACTTTATTGTTGTTGTAATGATTTCAAGGATTCAATTATTGCTCGTTCGAAGGGAGAATTAATTGGGACATTTTGTTCTGTGAACAATTAGTTGTGAAGTTGTGATTCTTAGTCCATCTGTGTACTTTGATTTCAACCAGGCTACCTGAGTGCCCTCCTCAAGTGTAAGAAAAATTACTTGAAGTAATAAGATTTTTTCTTAATCCTTTCTCCTCGGCAGATTTTTTGTGATACAGGTGATAGTGATTGCTGTGTTTTGGACATACGGTAGCACTATCTGTAGTTCTGTACAAATAAACAGTTCTCAGAGCAAATTTACAGTCTTGAAGTTTGGTTTTGAAGTGATAACAACTAACGAGTGTGTCTATCTACTTACAGCGATATGTTGTGGATTTGAGTCTGCATATCAATTCTCTACAAAATGGCTGTAAGCTGACCTATCATCACCATCCAAATCCTCTGTCTACTGCTATAGATGAGATTCTTATATGTCACGAGATCGGTTTGAAGCTCTGGCACACCTTCATTTGCAGCAAACTGGAGAACCCATTAACCGAATTGAAGTTCTGTTGCAGCCAGATGGTTTTGGAGTCCATGGAAACTTCATTCGAGATGTACCTGATAGAACTATTCGAAACTCTCTCTCACTCTAGGATCTCAACATAAGTAATTCAACGGCTAAAGATAAATGTGATAAGTGGGCCCATGCCATCGTGTCTATGATGCAATTAAGTGGATGCTCTTTGGATGGTGGGGACTTTTGTGGTGTGCATGCCTTATTAGGTTGGGACTTGTGGTGTTGATAGAGAAAAAAATGGACGTTGTGGTGGGTAGAGGCTTCCAAATTCTGGCATGCTCTTCTCCGTCTTTCTTTGGGAAGAACTTATACAGAACATCATTGGGTGTAACAAAGATTCGTCAGCCATCTAGAACAGGACCTGCTCCACGGTTCTTACGAAGCGTAGTTCAAGCTCAGGAACGCCCTACATGGCTTCCTGGGCTCGACCCTCCACCTTATCTGGATGGAACGTGAGCTCTGATTCTCCATTCACTGTAGTTTTTGACGTCCCATATTTTACTGCCCACTGGCAGTTCATTTTTGTTCAATTTCTCTTGTATAAGTTTATTAATCTGTAATGGTGGTGTTGTAGTCTGGCTGGAGATTTTGGGTTCGACCCACTTGGGCTTGGAGAGGATCCTGAAAGCTTGAAATGGTATGTACAGGCAGAACTGGTTCATGCTCGATTTGCCATGGCCGGGGTTGCTGGAATTCTTGTTACTGATGTAAGTGACTGGAAAATTTGCTTGGAGATGTTTTCTTGTTTCTTGTTCTTTTCAAGTGACTGTTTTCTAACCTTTTAATTTAGTAAGAACTTCCTTGAGCAAATAATTATGTTCTACCTTTGGTACACAGCAAATCCATTGGATTTATAGAAGTATTTAAGCTTGTTTGAACTGAAGGAATTTTAGGATTACAATGAATGGTTTTTGGTCTTCTCAATGATTAATGTGATGTTCCCTGTTACATTACCATTTTATGACTTGCTTATGTACAACACCTTGTCGATAGATTGCCTTTTGCCCCTGCCTCAATGAAGTGATTGCAAAAATTTCTAGATTTTGTCCAAGATGTGTATTGTGGTAATTGTACTTTCCATCCGCGGTTTCTGTTTATGGAACTACTACGATCACCATAATCAGGTGGGGATTTTCTTTTTGATAGCATGGTTCCTCCTGATTTTTCTACTAATGATTCAACCTTCATTTTACATTGGTGATCTTCACAGATCAATACTTTATGTTTCCTTTCCATCATTGCGTAACATTTTTGGTGATCGTCCTGTCGCAGTTGCTTCGTGTAACAGGTATAAGCAATTTGCCAGTTTGGTATGAAGCGGGTGCCACAAAGTTTGAGTTTGCCAGTACTAGAACCCTGTTTATTGTCCAATTATTATTAATGGGGTAGAATCTTAATTCCCTATTACTGTTACATTTAGTGAAATGCTGCAACATGTTTTTTATTTTTATTTGATCCAAATGCTGCAACTTGTTATATTTTGTGAAATACTGTGATGATTTTCCTAATATTGGTTACTTTTTGTGCAGATTTGTTGAAACAAAGAGGTACAAGGATTTCACAAGTCCAGGATCTCAAGCCAAAGAGGGGTCTTTCTTTGGATTAGAACCTGCACTAGAAGGTTTAGAACCAGGGTAATCCTCCATAAATTGAATAGATACATTTTCATCTCTCGCTAGAGTAGAGTACTCATTCAATGGGAGGTTAGTATTTAAAGAATGAAAAGCAATTGAAGAGAAAATACTGTGCTCAACGAGGATGAAATGGACCCGACAGGTGACAAAGGGTCCCTAAATTGGAATTTATACAGTGAGCTACCGCTAGTAGTTGGTAGCTCTGATGCCATAAAGAAGAAAAGGAACTTTATCTATAGATGGTTTGCATTACAACTCACCATTTTAATCTCTATTGATTTATCTTCATAATCCATTCTTAATTTCTTCGTCATGCTTTATTTTTTTTCTTGAAGTACTTCCATTTCTTGATGCATTGCCTGTTAAATGATAATAACATTCATCTAAAATTGCAAACCTATAGTTTTGTTACCTTGGATGTTATACCTCGATTCTGCTATGTTCGAAGATCAGTAAATTTATGGCTTGACTTGGAAGCAGTTTTGAGTTTTGGATTCTTAACATTGTGTCCATCATCAGATACCCTGGTGGTCCTTTGCTGAATCCTCTCGGCCTTGCGAAAGATATAAAGAATGCTCATGAGTGGAAGTTGAAAGAGATTAAGAATGGTTTGTTTACCTTGATTCTACTACTTATTGCTGCCATGTGTTTCATTTGTACAGTTAATATTACAAACAATACTTCTTTCTTGCAGGACGGCTCGCAATGATGGCCATGCTTGGCATATTTGTTCAAGCTTATGTTACTCATGTTGGCCCTATTGACAATCTCATGGAGCACCTCTCAAATCCCTGGCATAAAACTATCATTCAAACCCTTGCTGGATCAGTTTCTTGAACATGTTTAGTTGTAGTTTGTTACTGTTATCTGTTGTAGCAGTATCATATTCTCCCTTTTTTCCTGTCAGATTTCCTCTCACTTCACACATTGTATCCCAGCCATTGAAGAAATTGTACCCTAAATGTGGTCATAGCTATATATGTCCTCGTTTTTCTTTTTCTTTTATTGTTTATAAAAAATTGTACGATCGACGTCAATTGAGCCTAAAATTAGGTGCTATAATTTGGAAATTCCTATGAACGAGACGGATTCCATTATTGACGCGTAGTGGTACAACATATCCCGATTTCCACAATGTGTTTTTTGCTCTATTTTCTTGATTTTTCCCGATAATAGTTCACCCACCATGTGTTGATGGTATTTTTACTTTCATGACGAATAATCTATCATTAAAAAAAAATCGAAAAAAATTATATTCGAGGAATTCAATCCTGGTGCAACCTTTCTAACAAACTAATGGTGAAACCAAAGCAGTGAACTAGAAGCTTTTTTCATGTTGACAAACTTGTAAAAACCTTGAAAAATATTAACAGGAGTTGTAATTCTCAACGTACCAAGCATATACATTACAGAAACCACCTTATTATCTCTCTTTTCCCAGCCCAACAATAATGAAAAACTTACTGCTGCCTTTCCCTTCTAGCCACACTCCGTCCTGAGAACTAATCCAATCAAATTTATTGTACAGGAACCAATCCTCAACATGTACTATAGAGATTTGTTGAATTTACTCTCTCCCCAATTACGGCCACTACGCGACACTGCCCGAAAAAGGGAGGCTGAAAAATACAATAATAACAACAACAACAACAACAACAACAACAATGACGTAGAAGTATGAACAGAGTATTATGCTGTCTTGGATGCCTGTGCCTTCTTTCTGGCCAAGAACATGAAAATTCGTGGGAAAAATGATCTCCTCTTTTTCTTTGTAACCTTCAATTCTGGGGAAGACTCAGTTTCAGTGTTGCTTCCAGGCATATATGCCTTTGGGCTCGATCTATGATGCAGAGTTCCGCTGGCATCTGGTGCCTGGTCAAAATTCTTCGATTCTTTTCTGTCCTCAACGCTAGTTCTTGGGCTCTTAGCTGGGTTTACTACTACTTGAACGGATTCACCAGCTTTTCTCCGTTGCTCGTGTTCAGCCCTCCACTTTCTTAACTCCTGTTCCACACCCAACTTCCCTTCCTGGGCCTTCTCAGCCTTTTGCAGTGCGATTTCCAACACTTCCTTTCTCATGGCCATCTCACGATTCACTTCCTCTAACTTATTCAAGCTTTTCAACTCAGACTCCTTGGCCACCTCGATTTGGGATATGGCAGCAGCCACCCTTATGTTGGCCTGCTCCTCCGCTTCATGGGCCTGCTTGCTGAGCTTGTAATACTCCTCTAAAGAAAGTGTTACTCCTGTTGGTGAATCCTCATCATTGGTAGTTCGAGCTGATTCACTCTCTTGCAGTGCGTTGATAGCTGCTAGTGCCAACTTCTCGGAAGCCTTTGCAGCTTCTATCTCCTTTTGAGCTGCAAGTAGTCTACTTTCCATGGTACTTGCTCCAGCTTTTGCTTGCTCTGCTTCCTCCTTTGCCTTTCTTAGCTCTTCACGAGCCATTTGAGCAAGTAACTTTGCCTGATCTGCCTCTTGAGCTGCCTCTTGTAATTGTTTGGGAAGCTCCACCATCTTCCCTCTTGCTTCTTTCTCTCTCATCTGAACAAGTGCGATCTCTGACTTAGTCCTGTCCAACTCAGCTTCAAGAGATACAACTGCAATTGATGCCATTCCTTCTCTCTGCCTAATGGTAGCAAGAGATGATTTTTCTTTTTCCAGCTCTGACTTCAATGACGTGGAGGCAACCTTCAAGTAATTTACTTCAGCTATTGCCTTCTCAATGTTGCTCTTCACTTCTTCAAGCTCCTTCTTGGCTGAAGCAACTGCTGCTTGTATATCGGCATGAGTTTTCTTCTCCGATTCCTCCAGCTCACCTGTTGACTGTCCATCAGTTTCCTGCAGCAATTTCGATTCCATATAAGCTGCCAATTCAACTTTTAAATCCTGGAGCAAGCCTGAAGCGGTATCTAACTTCGATTTGAGATCCTTAGATGACAAAATTTGCTGGTTTAGTGTCTCTAACTCCTCTTCTGCCTGCTTCAATTCCTTCTCCCAATTAAGAGTATCTTGCTCCCTTGCCATAGCAGCCCCAATTCTGTGTTCCTCTGCCTCCAGATGAGCAGCATGTGCAGACTCCAAGGCCTCCTTTGTGGTTATCAGCTCAATGGTCAAATCCTCTACTGTCTTGTCAACTTCCTTTGATGCAGAAATGGCCTTCTCAGCTTTCTTCACAGCTGTATCTTTCTCCGACACCAATAAAGCATAATCTTTACGAAGTTCTGACAATTCATCTTTCACGCTTTTCAGCTCTGATATTGCAGCTGCATGCCTTGCTTTGGCAACCTCAAGCTGTGCCTTGGCTGCAACGCTAGCCTCATCAGCAATCCCTTGTTCCATCTCTTCCACCCTGAGCTTGGCAAGTTCAGAATCTTGCTTTGCTTGATGCTCTTCAGTTTGTGCTCTCTCCAGATTGAGTTTCAATTCTTCTATGAGCCTCTTAGTGCTCTCTAGCTCCTTTAAAACTTGCATTTTTGCATCTTCAGCAGCCTCAGACTGTTTCTTATGCAATGGAATTTCCTCCCGCACTTTCTCAAGTTCCTGTTCTACAAATTTGCGTCTCTGCGCACGCCAGAGAAGAAATTTGGAATTAGTTTTGCAATAGACGGAAGTTTCTCTACTTCTAAATACAATGTTGCACTGAACACAAATCTGGGTCCAAGACATCATCACACAATGACAAAGTAAAATTAAATACAAAACCAAATGTTCTACTTTTTAATCTCCTTGATATACACTGTAGAAAGTCAAAAAATGTAATAAAATTGAAATAATCATTAGAACACATTCATGTTCCTGTCCACCTCAGTGATAAACAGATGTTATTATGAGATCAAGGTACCCACTAGTCATGAGGATCATTCTCAAACAGTTCAGATGATAGAAGAAATGAAGTTGGAAAATACCATACCTCCACTGTCTGTACTCTATGGGCCTTCCAGTCAACAATCCCCCCAAACATAGAAACGGCTGCTTTAACGGATTCAAAAGGTGCTGCTGTATCAATTTGACCTCTGTTTATGGCGACCTTTTTCAAATGTTTGGTATGATCAATGAGTTCTGGTGCCTCAATGGTAACAGTAGAATCCGTGACTAGAGGCTGAGCACCCTTGTTGGATAACACTACATGATGGTCATCATCAGATTCTCTTGCTTTAGGGGATGAAGTGGAACGTATAGTTACATCTTGAGGACCTGGAACACTGCCAAGAGGACTACCTTCTTGAGATAGCTGCAGAGCATTATCCAATTTTACTTCTGAAGCATTAGATGGAATAGAATCTGGGGAACCTATTGTGTTTTCCTCTCCTTCAGGCTTCAATGTTTCCGGATTCCTGGATGATGTAAGTGAGGCATCCTGCTCAACTGCAGGTCCATCAGAAGTACCATTTGTTTGAACATGGGCAGTGCTAATAGTAGCAGCCTCTTGAGATTGTTGTAAAGCATCATTTGGTTTTGCTTCTGGTTTATATGATGGTATTGATTCTGAGGAACCTGTTGAATTTTCCTCTTTTTGAAGCTCTAATGCCTCTGGATTCTTTGTTGATGGAAATGGCACTTCCTGCAGAAGTTCAGGTCCACTAGAAGTATGCTGCATAACACCATCTTCAGACTCCTCAGCCATAGAGCCTGGATGGTCAGGTCCTGTATTATCAACAGGAGAGGTTGTAAGTGGATCGCCAGTGGGAAGAACATGACCTTGTTCTAAACTTGGGCCATCAGAAGCATCTGGTACATATTCTAATTTTGAATCATTTAGCACTGATCCCTGACATTCAGGTTGCAGTTTTCCATTAAGATCTTGATTTTTTGGAAGAAGACCATTTGAATGATCCTTGCTAGGGGAGGATAGTACTGTTCTAACAGAATATTCGGCAGAAAAATTAACTTCTGCATTTTGTACTTCCTCCATTCCTTTAAAGTGCCAAGCAAATCCAAGTGGGTATCTGAAATTCAAATAACCAGAACAAACTGAGCCTGAAGCTTCAAGCACAAATATTATTTCCCAACACCATGGCAAAATTATATGTACTGTTGAAAATTTGAAATGGCCATATTCTGGAACTTTTGAAGACCGACTACGAAATTAAAACAAAAAACATAAATTTCGTTATCTCTTTGTAAGAGTAGGACCACTGGTTCAGTTAAAAAGAGTGAAAAATAAGGAAAGAAGAACACCTGGCCCAATTAAAGGAAAAGTTATACCTTCTATTAGTAGGGAAACTTGATCGAGCTCACTGGTTGTGTAATGTTTTAACCATTTGATATTAAATATATAAGGAAATGACTCAAGCTTAAGCTTTGTTGTATGAAGCTCCAACAGGGAAACACAAATCATGTTTGTTAATATAACATTTACAAGTGCACTAAGTTTTCAGTAAAACAAATACAGTATGTGAGTAATTAATATGATGGAGCAGAACCATCTGCATATATTCATTTGATCAGAGATGCCAGGCATTCCATGATCTAGGTTGCACGATTGCAAACGAGTTGGCTTTGTGATCTAGATTGTCTAAATTTTCGACCCCAAACTATAATCCTAACTCCAAATCAACCCTAACCCCAAATTGTAACCTTCTCTAGTATTGGCTACCAATAGTGTAAACCATATATACCGATTTTTTGGGGGGTTTTTAAATTGCGATAGAAGAAGGAAAAGGAAGGAGAAAGGAAGAGGAGGGGGGGAGGAGGGGGCGGGGGGCTATTCATTAAGCAGGTTAAGATAAGATTAAAGCAAAAGATTTCCTCTGTTAGAATGAATTAGCCATTCTATATTATCTGCTACCAATCATTTAAGATCTCTCATCAGCCAAACGCCCATTCAATTACCACAAAAACTAAGAAGGATAAGGAGATAAGCAATTACCAAACGCCCATTCAATTACCATATAAACTCTCTTTGAATTCAAGTCTTTCTTTACTTTCCCAGGATTTCTCAGTAACCAAACAACAAGCTTTTTCGAATTTTCTCAGTAACCAAACAAAAAGCTTAGTCGTAAGTCTATAGTATATCCTGACATAAAAGGGAACACCAATCCTTAAAGTCTAAAACTGAGAATTAAAGCTCTAATCATGATTTCTTCAGAGAATTACACACAGAAAATAACTGAACCCCTTTCGTCATCCAACGGAGAGAGAGAGAGAGAGACATACCTGGAATAACTACAAACGAGAGAGAGAAGTCAAATCGAAAAGCTAGAATTGCTCTCTGGATATTAGCTAAAAAATAAAAAACAGAGACAAACAGTATAATTAGCTTAAAATTCAAAAGGTCGAAATTGAATACCAAAAATAGAAAAAAGAAAATTTAGTAATAAATACGAAGAAGGAAGAGAAAAGGTAATAATGGAAGAGATTGAAACACGTGCAGGGAGCCTACCAGATTCATCTTCTCTCTGTCTCTCTCTCTCTCTCTCTCTCTCTCTCTCGATGAGATTTTCGAATATTATTTTTTTTCTATGTCCGAAAATTTTGTGATTTACATTAATAAATCAGAAGTGTTTACCGACCACATGATAATCTACGAGCCAGAGGAGCTCAGCTGGGCCTTCTCTCTTTCTCTCTCTCTTTTCTTTCCTTTTTTTTTTTCTCTCTCCTGGAATATAGTATTCAGACAGTCCAATAGCGCCCATTAGGAGTGAACTTCACTCTCCATTGTAGCGCGTGGATTTGACTCATTCGCTGGGGAGGGAATCCCATACAATGGCGCATGGTTTCCAATCATCTCCAAACGAGAGTGGGATTAGAAGGGTAGAGAAAGGGCAAACGGTCAAAAGGGGAGGAAGAATAGAGAGAGACACTTGCGTGACGAAAGAATTACGGAATTACCCCTATCCTCGTAAAGTTTCTGGTAAGCGTGGGTCCCAGTCCCAAACTGACCTCCGATGACGACCGTTTACTTAATTAGAGCCGTGCGATCAAGCTAAGAAGAGTCAGCCTAATTTTCGCAGGCAATGGGTGGGCTGATCCGGCCCATTCATTAACTTATTTTTAAGACCAAAAGACATGGACAACCATCCACATTTTATAAGCATCTAGTGGAAAAAGACAGAAGTCAGTGGACAATGAAGCAAAAAAAAAAAAAAAAACGAAAGATTGTTGAAAAAAAAACTTGTGATTAGTTGGAGGTGGAATAGATCTACCAAAAACCTCCAGATTGAGTGTTGCCGACTGGGTCGGAGAGTAATGTCACACTTAGTATAAATAATCAAACAGAGCTTCTCAAGCTCGTTTAGAATGTGATTATTTGGAGGTGGAATATGTCTACCAAAAACCTCCAGGTTGAGTTGCCAGTGGAGCTGGAGAGTAACGTTACACTTATGCTTCGTTTGGTACGTTGAAAAAGTGAGAGGATGAAAAATTAGAAGGATAAAAACTTAGAGAGATAAAAAAAATATCATATTTGGTAAGGAAGGAAAATAGGAATGATGAAAAAGTGGATGAATTAATTTTTCTTCAACTCACCAAAATCAATCCCTCCAAAATCGAAAGGAAAGTGGATGGAAAGTTAATTATTTATGTTGAGATGTATCTTATTTGTCTATATATCTTATGTATACATTAATTTTATATAAAAATACAATGGTAAAATATGTATATATATTTTAAAAAATTTTAAAAATTAATTTTTTAAAAAATAAAAAAAAAAAAAATATTTTTTTCATCTTAATTAAGGGTGAAAATTTTAAACTCAACACGATGACATGACTCGAATTCAATACGAAAAATAAATAGGTCAACTCGCAACTCGACACGACACGACATGATTAGTTAAATGAGTTAAGTTAGGTTTAATTAATATTCGACACAAACTCGTAATCACTTAACATGAATTTGATACAACACGACTCGATTCTATTGTCACTCCTAATCTTAGCCAGCACAAAAAAAAATTGTTCTTTTTATTTTTCATCCATCTAATTAAACACAAAAGAAGAAAATATATATCTTCTACTTTCCATTCTCCCTACCAAACGGATCATTAGGGCTAATAATTGAGTAGAATTTGTCATGTTCGTTTTTTTGAAAGATACTAAAAAATTGTTCAATTTTGACTTGTTTAAAAAATGAGTTGAAACTAAGTTAAGCCAAACTTGAGACAAGTCGAATTTGAGTCGAGCCCGAATAACTTGATTATTTTACATATAAACGAGTTGAGACTTTTTAGACTAATTTTCTAAACTAATCTATAAAATTATTCAAATTCAACTCATTTAAAACACCATCCGAGCTTGAGTGGACTCTTTTATAAGTCGAACTCAAATAACTCAGTTCAATTATCAGTTTTAATTACGCTGATAAAAAAAAGGGACTAAATTTCAATTTCACACGTTTGAAATTCAAATTTATTCTATTATAGATCATTTAATCTTTATTTTTTGATCAATGTAACATTATTGGAAGGTTACTGGTCCATCTCTCTCTCTCTCTCTCTCTCATATACATAATATGTGTATGTATTATCAGACCATGGCATTAAAAACAACTTTTTGAAATCATATTTTGTTTTTGTCCATTAAAAATGCAACACGTGTATAATTTCTTTTGACTTTTACTTTTACAATCAACCGTTACTAGTAAATCAAATGAAAACTATTAAGTCAATCAATGGTTAATATTAAATCAAGGAAAATGCTATTTAGACTTAAAAATTTGACATAATTTGTTGACCTAATAACGTAGTTTCATTTGAATCATTGGATTAACATCAAGTTCTAATATTTAATGGAGCCCACAATGAATCAAAAGGTCATAGTGAATTAAGTCAGTAAATTAGGTCCCAATAGCATTGCTCTTAAATTAATCGATCGCTATAAAACATTTACATCCTTCATCTTTATGCTCCGTTTGGTACGATGAAAAATTGAAAAGATGAAAAACATAATGTTTGATAAGGAAGGAAAGTAGGAAGGACGAATAAGTAGATGAATTAACTTTTCTTCTAACTCACCAAAATCAATCCCTTCAAAATAGAAAAAAAAGTGAATAAAAAGTTAATTATTTATATTGAGATGTATCTTATTTGTTTATATATCTTTTTATATATACATATATTATATATACATTAATTTCATATAAAAATACAATAGTAAAATATGTATATATATATTTTTTTAAAAAATTAATATTTTTTTAAATAAAATAAAAATAAAAAATAAAAAAAATTTAAATTAAAAAAAAAATATTTTTTCCATCTTAACTAAGGGTAAAAATTTTCGACTCAACACGATGACCCGACTCGAATTCAATACGAAAATAAACATATCAACTTGCAACTCGACACGATACAATTAGTTGAATTAGTTAGGTTAGGTTTGACTAATATTCAACACAAATCTGTAATGATTCAACACGAATCTGATATGACACGACTCAGTTGTTACCCCTAATTTTAGCCAACACAAAAAAAAATAGTCATATTTATTTTCCATCAATTCAACCAAACACAAAGGAAGAAAAATATATCCTTCCTACTTTCCATCCTTCCTACTTTTCATCATCCCTACCAAACAGAACATTTTGCTCTGTTTGATATGATGAAAAAATGGAAGGATAAAAAGTTGGAAGGATGAAAAGTTAGAGGAAAAAATAAAACATCATGTTTGATAAGGAAGGAAAATAAGAAGGATGGACAAGTGAATGAATTAATTTTACT